TACAGGACGTAATAGCACATGTCAAACATAATTAAACTTCGAAAATCAAAACCACCGACGTTAACTGTTTTTTAGTACAGATTTTTGTTCATAAAAATTTTTATTACTAGCATATAGCGAGCAGTGCGCGTTTAGGACGTTGCGCCACGAGATAGGTCAGCATGTGCGTGCTAGAGGCACTTTGTCATACCCTATCGAAACTATAAGAGAACAAGAACTTGTGCGAATATGCCAATAAGTAGCGAATACGACGTGCTTCGGTGAGCCGCGAATTATCGCGCAAATTCCTCCGTCGGGTTTGCGCAGACCTTAAAATTATATTATCGCGCGAAGAACAAACAAAACTCACCCCGAGCCTGGCGAAACTATCCTCGGTTACAATAGCAACCAAGAACGTTCGTCCACGTGGTAAAAATGGATTTTATGGCTCGTGGTTACAGCTTATCTCCCACTTGCCGTTTAAATAACACCTATAACAAATTTTAAATTCTTATATATGGGAACAATGTGTACGAGAGTCCACATGAAAAAGTTATACGTATATTAAACAGAGTTTGCACAGCCCAGACTAATAAAACCTATTTTAGACTGTTCGAATGAAAATCCAATACTCGACGGATTTGTCCCGCGAGTACAAAATACTCTTTTTTTCAGCCGATATTGAGAATGGAATTTCGTTGGAAGTAGAAAGATAAACGCTCACTCAATCTCGTTGATAGAACGTAATATGCACCACCACCCCGCTCCCAAATCGTTTCCTTTTTTATTCACCTTCTTTTATGTATACTGTCAATAAATGTTTAGGGTGTAACAAAGAAAGAATAATTCTACAAAAGTCGATCAGATCTTCTGCTCGCGAAAAAACAATTGCTTCCGTTCTTTCCTCGTTTCATTCTCATTTCATTAGAACTGCGATCAAAGCGGCTGCTTTTTCTACTCCGTATCCAAGAATTCGAAGCAAATCAAGAACTATCTCAGTACATTTGATGAAAGCTAGTTTCTTTTCTCGTTCGTCGAACGAACGACAAATGATTGATTTTTAAATAAACACGATCTCGTATTTGTCCTACTTTATCGCTTTTTAACGTCGCATCGACAACGAGGATTATTAGCGACAAACATTCATGACAAGGGGCACTCCAGTTTGTCAGTTTTTTATAAACACGTTCCACCGAGCGAGGTGATCACAGCTGGCACGGTAAATCAATCTTTTTTTATCAGTCACGGCTGTCAGTCCGACAATACGCGCGAGAGGGTGGAAGAGGAGGCGTATCGTTTCCGGTCGACAGCGAAAGCTACCTAGCGACAATAGGTATCGTATTTAACAAATCGTTAAATCATACGAAAGTTATTCGCCAATATTTGAATTAACTCCTTTATTATGAAACGGTAAATACTCGAAATCCTCTTTGAACGCGATGTTTTTCAATATCGAATTATTGCTGCGCATTAGCAGGCTGCGTAGAGGTACAAATCCAATTCATTAATTACGACCGATAATGAAGAAGTGTCGAGGATAAAATTATAATTACAGGCGGGCGCGCGTGGTCGGCGAGGCGTGAACGCGAGCACGGGGGAAGGGGGAGGGAGAGCCTCGTAGGATTAATAAATCGTCCAAGGGGCGGCGAGCAGGGGACTGGTAGAGATATTTCGAAATCTGGTCCTCGAGCTTCTGCCCGCACCACCACCACCACCACCGACGGCGTAGTGTTTCGCGTTTCATCCCTCCCGTCGACGAACTTATGAAATTCAAACGCGTACACCTCCGTGCCGGGCATTATTTTCATACATCACGGTTTGCCCGCCGTTATAACGTCGTACACACGTAACGTACTACGTAATATGTATTAACTTACGTTAAGGGTACGTACTATTACCTCTGCAGCGGAGGTCCTATTATCATTTATAGTGACGCGGCAGTCATGCCACCCCAGGGAGCGCGATATAATGTTCAAAGTATATTAACAGGAAGCCGGCTAGGTATTAGCTATATCGTGGCTGACGCAAAGTAGTATACGGGGACATCGATAACCTATGCTGATATCTATCGAATATTCATATCGATTCGCGTCATACCAGTCGGTCATGAGCCGATAATTCTCCTCGTACCACGAGCTCTTTCGTCCGGCGCAGACAGTTTCCCCGAGTGTGATTTAATATGAATTGCGAGCAGTTCTGACTGCTCGACGATTTTCATACATTCAAACGAGTCGAGAATGTTTCAGCCTCGGATTTATTTCCAACAGGACAATCTTTTAATTCAATTTAAAATTTAAACTGGCTATTGGAAATAATACACTTCTGCAGTAATAGATCCACCTCGCAGGTTTTAAATGTTTGCAATATTCCGCATAGTTTTATATCAGAGTGCGTTTAAAGTGTAACGCATTGAAATGCATTTTGTCTTGGGGAATGATCGAAGAATAACAGTCTAGAAGAACGGAATAAATTTAAAAGCTACTCGGAGCGTATTCGACTAGGATAGCTTCTTAGTGCTTTCACGAAAATTTCCGATCCTCATGGGTATTCCCCAGGCTTTCGCTGCTTGATGTCACTTTATTGAAATCTCCCAACGCTATCTCGTTTTATCCCCCGGCATCTTATTGGTTCCGTGGAAACGCTGTCTTTTCATTCGTCGTTGTGTATTCTCATTACTATATTCTATTCCGTTCCCATTGTATGCACGTAACTGTTCTCTTTCCTGGGGCATCCGAGTTCCCCGAGAATTGTACAACCAAATAAATGAAGCGAGATATTAAAAATGTATCGAGTTTATCGAAAAATGTAAACGTTCTCAGGAATTCTTAACACCTCGACTGCCAAACAAAATACTCTCCTTAATTAAACAGTTTATAATAGTATTTTATCAGCTCATATCCTGTTAGCTATACAGGGTGTCCCAGAAAAAGTGTTATAGCCGAAGAGAGATGATTCTAAAAGTGTTTCTGAACAACAATTTCCTTTGCCAAAATGCAAAGTGAGGCATGGTTTTTAAATTATTAACGAAAAACATTGACCAATAAACGCGCGTGTAGGGCCCGCGCCCAGCCGTGGATTGGCTGGCTCATTGGTCGGTGTTTTTCGTTAGTAATTCAAAAACCATGGTTCACTTTGCATTTTACCAAAGGAAATTGTTGTTCAGAAACTTCTAGAATCACAGAAGTAAATTGACAGAAGTCACTAGAATTACAGAAATAAATTGACAAGTCCTCGTATGCCTTTAATGAAAGACGATGTTACCCTTTGAACGAATAGGCGAATAAATGATTGTTTCATAACGGGTGTCCGTTCGTAGGAAGCTCTGGTCGTTCCTCATGGTTGATTAATACCGATTAGAAACGATTAGTTTTCATGCGACGACGGTTGACTGGAACCGGTCCAGAGTGAAATATCAGTCGCAGTCGCGAGGGGTAAACTAGCAACATTAATTCTAACCAATTGCGGGCCCCGTTCATTGGCCGACCTTAGTTAGCCGGGACGCCTCGGCTTGGTACGTAACGAGAGCTACGGCTAGAACGGAAGCGCGTGGTCGTAAAAGGCGACCGCAACGTCTCGTGGAATGTCTTTGTTGATTCCAGTTTGACTAATTCGCTCGTTAAAATCAATTGCGCAAATAATTTTTCCTCTTCGTATAAAAACGGGACGAGAGGTTCGAGCAATGAAATTATAAATAATTAACGTTTATTTTAAATACCTTTCAGCACTTTGACTGCCATGTAAAGTCAAACCCAAATTCAAATGACGCATAAACATTTTAATGGGTTGTATCACCCAGATCAGCGTGATTGACTGTGGTATTTCGAAATAAGTACCGGGTGTCTCAGAAAAAGTATTAGTCAACCTTTTTTGTTGTCGACCTTTTAGTACTTTGACTGTCAAACATTTTGTGTAGCCTTCATTCGTTACTCTAATTGGAATAACATGGTAGCCTAATTATCATCATTTAGATTAATCTGAGTTTGTAAAATGACTGATGGCCATATAAAATAATGCAAAATATAAAAAAGCCCATTGTAACATATTTCCACTTTCATGGGTAGAATTCCGAGCTCCAATTTCAGTTCATGTCACAATTTCTACTCACCGTCTTCTGATTACGTACAAAATACGTGACAGTAAAAGCGCCAGTGATTAGAAATTATTATTTGATCAGAAAGTGGGTTATTCGCTATAATGAGATTCTGGCACCAGAAAGCGTTTGATATCTCATCAGGTTTAAATAGTACAGAAAAGTGCATTCTGTCCTATTCCTACATCATCAGGTATAATAGAATCTCGAAGAATCCTTCGTTAGTCAGCATTTATAACTCTCCCAAACTTTAACTACTCTCAAAATTTCCAGTAAATCGGTACGATAATTTTTGTTAGGCGTTGATAAACGAGTCCGTTATACGAAGCTCTTTTATAATATCTCACGATATAAAATGATTTCCATTTACTCGGTTGAAGACTCAACCCCTTCCACAGCACTTGGGTTTAACCAGAACGCTCCGTTTCGAGTAGCATTGCCACGGCAACACGAAAAACGTCGTTGAACGTTGTCGTTCACGTTCAATTAGCGACGCCATAAATGAGGACGTTGACGCTGGCTGACTGGCGTCGAAAGGAGATGAGGCGGGTGACGGGGAAGGAGGCCAGCGGTTAAGAAACTGCTCGCGAGCTCGTTAACTCGCGATTTACTTCGCGCAGCCGGCTGTTGCCGCTGCGGAGAAAACGGAATGCGCGTCGTTATGCACTCGCGTAGCCGTCCGGTTTCAAGCACTACGTAGTCTACACATTCTAACATCGTCGACGAACGGAACGGGTCGTCTCGGCGGCGGTGACGACGACTTACGACGTCCAACCACTTGACATCCCGACCCGCCCACATCTCGTAAACTGCTCTCTACAGGCCTTCCCACAAGTGGTCCAGAAATTCCCACTAATCTTCCGGCGCGTCCGCGGGACGCGGCACGTTACAATGGCTGGTAATTAATGGCCCGCTGAATGGACTTCTTCCAGTCGCGCGAATAATCTCGGATCGGATCCGCGCTTTCGGTTTTGGTCAGACTCGTGTAAAGCCCGTGTGTCCCACTAAATGAATATTCGGTTCGTTAGCCGCGCGACATGCTCCATTCTCATTCATTGTATTTTCTGTGTGCACGGCGAAATGTAATTGGAAAATATTTTCCAAAATGCAGAGGGACGAGTTTTCGCATGAAATCGCAGATTCGTCGTGTATAAACATACTTCGATGATTTTGAAGAGGAGCAGAAAAAAAAAGCGGGTGGAAATCGTAAATGGCTAGCGGACGGTAAATCATCCGTCGCAGGTTCGAGCAACCGAAGTCCAACAAAATTCATCCGCGACCCTTAAGACTTCTCACAGAAATCTCTCCGGAGAAGTCCATAAATCTTGGCCCGCGCTTCGCTCGATTTAACCAAGAATTTATCTGCCTGTCCGGCGGAACGATCGTGTAAAAAGAATGAGAGCGGCTAAAAAAGAGGGGGAAGAGAAAGAGTCTTGAATCGGCGTGGCGCGAATCGGGGCTGCGAACATGCGAAACACACCGAGCAGCTGGGAAACAAACGGGACACCGGCCGGCAGTTTCCAATAAAGCCTACCGGCTGACTGTCGAATTTATTGCACGCTTAATTAGCGGACAAATAACACGATTAACGAGGTCCGGCAGGCACGCGATAGTTTGTCGCGCCGCGCCGCCGCGGGTCCGCTCGGAAAAGCCCTGCGCGGAAAACTGTCGCCGTATTTTTTTCCTCGCGGAAAAAATGGAAAACAGTTAATTTCCTGACAGATTTTTCAATGGGATACTTAATCGTGTTACAATGAACCATTGAAACCTTTTTCGCTTTCAATAACCGTTCGCGTTTTTATTCATCCTTTCGTTTGTTCCTTTTTTTTGAACCGTTTGAACCGTTACGAATTATTTTTCCAAAAGAATTACGTTCCCTGTTGTACCAATTTGTTCTTGTGGAATTTTTTATCGGAGAGAAAAGAGCATAGAAATCAAAGAATACCTTGAGAAAACCTTTTTGCGTTCAATTTAAATGAAAAAAATGAATTATGTCGGAATTCGCATGATTAAAAAACACTTTTGCTGGTGCAATGATAGCCATTGGAGGAATGAGAAATACGATTCGACGGAGGACGTCGCGAGCTTGGTAGAATTGAATCTAACTCTGACAAATAACCCTTTCGATCTCGTCTTCGGGAACTTCTATTTATACGCGTGCAAACCGAAGTCCTTAATCAACCGACCGATGAACGGTGCTCGCTCGTTCGCAGACGGACACTCTCTCACGGCAAACACAGTTTTCAGCTGCACCCCATTGGTCCATTGTCCCATAGTCTCGTTCCGACTCGTCTCGTGGCTTGTTAATTAATCCGCTAATTATTAAACTAATTGCAGGTTTAATTGGCTCGCGCCCTCTCTGTTGGTTCCTTTCTGCTCGATCTTGATCTCGTGGAGGGGCGAAAGAACGGCCGAACACCCTGAGAAGGGTTCAAAGGCAAATGGCGAGGCAGCAGGTTTCTCAACTTTATTTCTCCTCTTTAGAAATGAGAACTCTTATGATATAATTCGTGAGAATAATACCATAAAGTGTACCATTTGTGCTACCAGAGATGACTGGATAATACCAGAAATAATAAAGTTAACAGAGTGATACTTTGTATACGAAGACATGGAATGCTCTTCCAACTATTTCTATTAGTCGAATGTACTACTGTTCATATCATAATGTTCCATTAACAACTATTATAATACAGATGTAAGAATAACGTGCTGAACTTTCTGTTCTCAAGAATATTTTTTAATTCAACAGACAATAATTCAAAATAACCAAACCCTCCAACAATCAAGACTTCCAAGGTTGTTAAAACTTTCAAGAGATTTAAGAAATGTCGAGTTCGAAACATGTTCCAAGTGATTCGATCGAGAACTCTTAATACTACTATAAAGTGTACAATTTGTACTGTCAGAGATGCCTGGATAATACCAGAAATAATAAAGGGAATAGTGTAGCTACTGTATATACGACGACATAAAATGCTCTTCTAATTATTTCAATTGGCCGAATGTACTATTGTTCACATCATAATGTTTTATTAGCATCTGTTTTAATAAAGTATGAATTATGTGCTGTGTGTGTGTGTGAATTCTCTCCTCTCAAGAATATTTTTTCCGTGTACCTGCTTGTATACATTATTGAAGATAAGAAAAATGGAGGGTAATTGCTAGTGCGCCGTCCTGTTCACTTTGCTTGTGCAAACCAGGCTTAATTGCACGATTCTCTTTTCTTTGAATATTTTTAGACTAGCTACTTGCCTGTCCTTTGAGATTAAAACCAAGGGGGCCACTATTGTACTGAGAGTTTACCTCTGGGTGCTCCCCCTCTCTCCCTTCTTCTCCTCAGGGTATTCAATCACGATAGCGACTTTGTGTATGGGAGAACATTTTTAAAACGAGTTACATTGCCCTTATTGACAGACTCATTGTTTCAGGACTCGATAGCTTCTTAAGTACAGAGTCTTTAAAATATTAATATTGTTTCTTAAGTAATTTAGAGAGTCTTCAGAGACACAATGCAGAATAATTAAATTTGAACAATTGATGTCTAATAAATTCACTCAGACTATATTATGCTACTCGTAGCTGCACTATAACGCATGAAAGCAACAATCGAACTGGTAGGGCCAGTTTTGAATAAAGTCAACATTTGCGCAATCGTTGTAATGGCCCCGTTGTTTAAATCGCTCTGTACAGTGGTGCGTGCCAGGCGGCGGCAATTGAGATTGAGATATTGCGTCAATTGACGTTGCATTGCCCGTTTGCGAAACAGACTGGATCGTCGGAAAAATCAACAGATCAGCCAGTCAATCAATAAAGCTGCCTAACCGAAACTGTGTCAAACATTGTCTCAACAAATACACTTCAGTGGCAAATATAATTAAGAACTACTTGCAAAGGTTATAATTAATAATAGTTAGAATGTTCACCGTCAAAGCAATTCCTAATAGAAGATCGATATTCGCAAAAATTAGATTAGAAACTCAACACAAAATAGTTCGAATATTAGAAACTGTTGTGATGAAATTACCAATAAAAATGGAGGCGATCGAAAATTACGTCACAGTAAAATTGAACGCCTGTGAATAAAAAAGAAACGGGGATTGGTATTCACGTCTAGCTGTAACGTTCGGTAGCCGCCCGCTTTCTTTCGAAGCTCTGCGCGAGAATAAGCGTCGAAACGCCGCCGAAAAGCATCCAAAAAAAGGAAGAAACAAAAAGCGGGGTGGAACAAAGGGGAATTGAAATGTATCAAAATTTCAGCTGTCGCCCTGGATCCGGCGTTGTTACACGGAGAACGGGAGAGGGCAGGGAGGGAAGCGAGCATTGTATTCACGAGGAATTCACGATCCACCTTGCATAATGCAATAACTTGTCTCGACGAGCGGCGAACGTACGAATGGGACGGAAACAAAAGAATCGGTTGCCGGTATTTTCTGTTTGCGCCAGACAAAAACGGGAAGAGTAGCCGGGGAGGGACGGAGGGGTTAGGCACAAGTAGTAGACACTCGAAAAACCCTAAACGGAACCACCCTTGCGCGCGGGCAGCTCGCGAGGGGTCGGGGGCCAGAGAACTACCCATTGTCGGCGCGGTTAACTGCTGCTTACCGCGGCATAAAGCGTTCAAAAGACAACGAATTATTTAAAATGCCTCGTTAGATTGTTCCCCAAAGCTGTCACGGCGCGTCGGTTTCAACCGACGTCTATCATTGTTAACCACGTCGGGGAGGAAATGTTTCAGTTTGACGATCGGGGCTCGGGATTTGTCTGAAGTTGGATTCATTGAACGACTGTTGTCTGGGATTTGTCTTCTCCTTCAGGACTCCTGATTTTTATTTCCACGAACTTTCGTGGACTTTTCCCTTGGATTCATTGTGAATAAATTATACAGCGGATTTTCATAGAGCTGACATATTTTCAAATAATGACGAAGAGAATCTTTGGGATCATATAAGAGTTTTACGTCACAGGAAATGAAGTATGATTGGAATGAATAATTGATTACAAGAATCTTCGATTACATTTCCTAGTAACCAATCCATCTTATCGACCCATTTCATTCCTGAGTGCCGCATTATTTTTATTTGATCATGATTTATTTAAAGTGTCTTATAAGAAACTAATTGACATTTTAAATGCTGGTGGCACTGTTTATTCGAGTTCCGTCAAAGCTAATACTATCTACGTACTGAATCATTTAATTACGTACACAGACAGAAATATAAATATTATCTGAAAACAGATTAGACTGTAAAATTCCGCAGCAAAATATCGTTTAATATCTCTTATAAAGTGTTGCAATTAGTAGCAAATTGTCCTTTAAGGAGTCCCGTGGAATCCTAGCAAAATTTGTTCTAAGTAAGAATATTAATAACAAGGGAGAGAATTTTTTAATTTACTCTCTTAGATTGCCTAAGAAGGTAGATTTCTTTATTCTAGTTCCATTAAAAAAGTAGAACGGCTACGGATTGATTTATTTTTCGAACTGAGTTGCAGGCTTCTTCGGCGATAAATATTTAATATGTTCGGATTTACCTCGAGCTCGCAAGCAGTAAAAACAGAGCAGGGAAAAAACTCGTTTATGAATGCAAAATATCTCCTCAAAGTATTATACTGTCTTTAAAGAATTTATATTTTTCTTTAGAACGTAACGTATGAACCGTAAAAATATAAATAATATGTAGCAAAATAAAAATATGAGCAATCAAGCAGAGTTAAAGTGTTATCCCAGAAACTTCAAATTTTCTTGAGATGCAACGATTCGATAGTCGAATGCAACGAGCTACTACGTGAAGTCTCTTGAGGCCTGTCTGCCTCCGGTCGTCTTTCTTGCTACACACACCGGAATAACATCGGAAACATTTAACATTTTTATCTTTCACATTCACTATTGATCGTAACGCGAGTTTATAATAAACGTTGTGCATCTTCATAATAAAGATATCCTTTTTATGCATAAAGTAAAGGCGTAATTGTGCACTGCGTGAATTATTATTATTAATTCCAAGAAATTTTATTGAAGAAATGTCTGTTCCTAAGGAATTGATATTAGAAAATATTCGCTTCCTTTCTTATAAACTGTCCTTAAAAAAGTCCTTAGAATTGGAAAGATCTTTGGATATTTAATTCTAAACTTGAATCCTCAAAATCGATTAGTCGTACATCTATTTAAAAAAAAAAATCAATACTAAAGCGTCGCGGTATGCCAGAAATGTGAGGGTGAACCTAACCGGGGGCGTAGGTACGCGAAAAGTTCGCGAAGTCGCAAGTTAGGTCGGCCGTAGGAAACGCGTTTTCGCGTTTAACTCTTGCCAGCCAGAGCCGCGCAATAATCCGCGTGTCATGCTAACTTAATTTCCGACGACTTCACCCAGCTCCAAGATTCGCTATAAATACAATTCCTTATTTCAAATTTCGTGCCAACTTCCCAGCCAGGGGATGTTTTCCCCTACCGAAGTAACCAACGAGAAAGATTCAACAACTTTTAACAATGAATCATCGGTTTATCTCGTTACCTCCTTTTTTTCCCCACCCTTTCACGAATTTATGAAAATGAAATCGCTATCGGATAGTAGATACACAGATATATGTATATATTTCACCGAGGCGAAACTCCTTCGTGCGCGTTTACGATTTGCTATAAAACCATAAGCCTATTCGCGTCGAGTCGTAAACAGGAAGTAAAGATTTCTGGCGATGCCTTTTTCTCCTGCGATAAGAGATTCAACAGCATGCCGAGGAAAATGCCAGAAAGATTGTCGTCCGCACGCCAATCCAGTCCTTTACGACCTTTTTTTATCGCCCTACTATGACTTCCTTATTTGGTTAATTGACCGATTGCGAAAACGCCACAGCTGGAAGCGTCAGCGAACTTCAACGATTGCTACGTACTTAATTACAGGGTCAAAGAAACGAGAATTGATTAACATAAAAACATCTCGCCCTTTACGACGTTTTTAGGTCATGCTCTTAGCTCAATGGACTTAAATTGAGTCGAGTCCTCAGATATTAAAATAAATATAAAGTACTGCACGTGGTTATTAATAAGAAGGAATTTTTGGAATGAATAATTATCATCTGAAATTTTTTAGAAGATCCCTTTTCATTCATAGACGTATTGGGATAATGATGCTCGATTCAGTTTTCATTCTGTCAATTTCTACTCTTTTATTACTATTTTCTTGTCTGTGTTTATTCTCGGTCAAAATACAATGAGTTGATCGTAGAATTCACTGTTATTATATTACAGCGTGACTCTGTTAATTAACGTAAAAAAATAAGGAACATGGCACTCCTGCTGTATATGTGCTGCATCAGCATTCAAAGGGTTAAAACAACTCTCCCAAGAAAATTACGTTAACCCCGAACGGTCGGCGAGTGCCAATAGCCAGGGTCGTTTCCGGTTTGATGCTTCGAACTGCTTCTTTGACGCCTTTGACGCAATCATTTTATCGCGATCGCCTCCATCCCTCGCCGGGTCCTCGGCGCCCGGAAACCCGGAGGTAATTCCGTTTGTTCCCGTGGTTTTATACGCGCGCCAGGCGCATGACAAATTCGTGCGATCTCGGAGTCGTTTACGATCGCGCACTTCGCCCCGAACAGTTCCACTCGCGGCGGTTTTTGTTTCCCCTATTTTCGGCTGGCTCTTTTCGCGTCGACGGAAAAACGGCGAACAGGGTTATTGTTTTAAGTGGCACGTAGCTGGCTCGCGGTCCCAACGTAAAACCGGTTCCGCCCGATATCATAGAGTATCGTTTTTGGCCGCGACTGCCGAATTCTACTCTTGATAGCTTCTAGAATGGGTGATAGAATACATATAGTTAAAACGTATGCGATGGCCATTACTCGAGCGACACGATTTCACGTGACAGTCGCAGGGCGGAATTAACCACGATTTTTTAAGTCACTTCGTGTGAACTACTTTTTCATGTAGTCATTTTGTAGACGAGACGGAGTCGAATTAAAAGTGAACAAAGGGAATCAATTTCGCCGGATGCAATTTACTGACCCAATAAGCGTTTCAACTAGAGATCTAATAAAAAAGGCACGATGGTCGAATTATAAACGAGGATGCTTGTATTGCCATTTTCGAGTAAGTCCCGGGGAAGCCGTTCGATCGCTTTTTCCACGACGATAATTACTCGAACGTCCGGCCGATCGGATATTTTTAATTAACGGGCCATTTGCAGTAGTCGCTCGACGAAGCGGCGATAAACATATTAATACGCCCGCGTTGTACGCCCGGACCGGAGGTAAACGAAATTCTCCCGCCGGGAATCGAGGTTACTTCATTTTTCAACGCCCGTTCATTACGCTGATAATTACTATCTTTTTTTCTGCTTCTGCATACACGAGCGACAAATAAAAGTTCGACTCGCAACTAGGCGCTCGCCGACGTCACCTTTTCCAAACCGTTTGCTCGCAGGACGCTTGACATACCGTTTCGAGAGCTACGAATAATTTCCGCGTGCTTGTTTGTTAATGAGCGACAAATTCTCTTTGCCGTTTGAGGCTACGTTTACAAAAAAAGGACCAACGTCACCAGAATTTCAGAAAACCTGCAGTTATTTAAAAAAGTATTTCGCTTTTAAAAAAAAACATCGTCCTGCCCTACAAGTTTTATTTCTAAAACTGGAGATTAGTTTATTAAAGTAGCACATATTTTTCACTGTTACAGGAGCGTCTCTTCAGCTTCTGAAGTTAGACGTGCCTAGTATAGCAGATCCCAGGTGGGACAGATTAACGCTGAGGTGCGAGTACGATTTGGGAGGCGAGGATTTGTATTCAGTGAAATGGTACAAGGACGGCGCGGAGTTCTTCAGGTACATGCCCGATTCGAGACCGCCGGGCCGTGATTTCCCCGTCGACGGGGTCTACGTGGACGTGAACAAGAGCGATAGCAAACAGGTGACGCTGCTGGGACAGGCGAACAATCGAAGAGGTACGTACACAGGTTCGGTTTGTCCCGTTTACTCGACTTAACGATCGCAGCTCGTGCGTGTACCACTGATGCTTTGCTCGCTGACTGGTGGTTAGAGAGCTGTTCGTCGGCGTCTAAGATCGATCGACTTGGTTCGAGTGCGGGTGGGTTAAGATAGGGTGACTGAAACGGGCGATGCTAACTCGCTGGAAACTGTCTATGGTTTAATATGCATCGATTAATTGTTGATTGCTCAGGCATTTCAGTGAAGATTAAACAATTTGCACAGTCATATTATATTCAGAATTTATATACCACTTCATTTAATAAAATATTTGATGCAATCATTTTATATAATTTATATAGATGTGGTATGATTTAGTATATATTGATTAATTGCTGATTGCTCAGGCATTTCGATGAAGACGACACATTTGCACAGTCATGTTATACTAACAATTTATATACTAGTCCATTTAATAAAATATTTCATGCAATTATTTTATACAATTTATTCACAAACTGTATGATTTAATTTTTGCTCAGGCATTTCGGTGAAGATTAAAGTATTTGCACAGTCATATTATATTTAGAATTTATATACTACTTCATATAGTACAATATTTGATACAATAATTTATATACTAATTTATATTAAATTTGCTGTAATGGTTGTTAGAATATTTGATACAACAATTGATACACTGTTTTATTTCACGATGGGAATAACGATTACTATAATAATTCTATCAATAACAATAACTAATACAAGAGTAGTAAACTATTTATACGCCAATAATGCAATTAGGCTAATTGTAAGAGCCACAGACCTAATAATTCTCTTATTTCTTAAAAAAAAATCAATAATTCATTTTTTTATTTTGTTTTGCGATATTTAAAAGAGGATGAGGCCCAGTTTAATTTAAAATCGAAGTGGTAACTCCTGTTCGACTTTCGAAGGGAAGGAGCGAGGCACCAGAAGTTGAGCGTTTCGTTACGCTTGAATAATCAACGAACTTTTCTTCAGTCTCGCCCCGTATTAAATTTCAATTCACGGCCATTTTTCTCGACTCCCGCGGGACACGAGGGTCCTCCTCTCTGTTTTTTCCTTTACACCTTCCCCCTTAGGTTTCTAATCAGCCGGGCGATTGCGTTCAAGCTACGAAAGTAGTCGCGCCCAACTTCGTTAATTCATTACGATCGGAAGGGAGTGAACCGCTGTACGATAAGTTTCCCAACTATATGCTTTCGTCTTTGACTCTCCACTCGCAGGATGACGGTAGCTCTCTAGAGCAACGCTTTTTGAACCGGCGCTGCGTAAAAAAGAGAGTGAGTTAGCGCTTTACATCGTCGATGAAGTACGAGCTCCTTTTCCGTGGGAATTAGAGCGTGTTGCGAGTCGCGTGGAACCGGACTTCGCTCTAGGCTTGATAATTTTCCTTGAAAAGAGCTCTTTTTTTTAGATAGCATGCGTCGAGGAGTGCTCGGCGAATGATTAATCTTGCCTAGATATCGTCTGCATTAATTTAACAGGACAGAGCGGGTTGAAATTCCGTTCGAATTCAGATAATAAATGAGAGAAGTGTACGGAGACAAACGATGATTTCCTTGCCTGGGAAAATTCTAATCTAAATTTTTCTAAATTATATTTATAGATATAATGAAAAATTTGAAAATTCGACTTAATTTAGAAAATGAAATGTAAATAGGAATTATAAAAATCATGTACATTTCACTATTGCTATTTCGTGTGTCCTTGGACATTGAATTTATTATTTTAAACTTTCTGTACGTACCATTCTTTTATATGCATAAAATCCGCAGTCTGATTATAATAGATCTGGGAAAGGGAATTAATTTCGGAACAGCGGCGCGAGATATAATTTATTTCATACGATTAACAAATAATTTGCATTATTCATTCAAACGTTCTCTTTAACTGTTATTCAAACACGAGGATTAAGGTCTTAACAGAAGCGGCGAAATTGAATCTTTTTTCAATTTAAACATTCATTAAACGAAACACGCGTTAATGCTCGACGACGTGCTCGATTCAATCGGCGGCGAAATTTATCTGTTTTCCCATCGGCCGTGTAAACGACAGATTCGCGGCAATGTATTAACGGAACATTGTCAGGGCTACCCGAATTTTGGTCGCGTAAATATAAAAACATTCATTATCCGACCGCGACCGAATTATAATTCGCGCCACCGTCCTGCGTTGTTTATCGCTGGACGAGTCAAACAGAATCGCTTCACTGCGCATACCCCGACACGTAATTCGAGACTTTTTCCTTTCCTTTTAAACATCGTCTGAGTGCCTGTTGACCCTACTTTATTAAATCAATTAGATCAATTAAAATAAATTACGCTCGTTGGCCCTTCGTTAAAAAAAAATCATGAATCCCATTAAAAGAGTTTCGAGCAAATCCGCGGATTGACTTCATCAATTTAGCTTGTCGATATGCAATAATTGTTATAATTAGGCAAGCAATGCAATATTGTATGATATTCAAAAGAAAGCTAAGTTCCTATTGAATGATGAATTAGTGATGAATTTGTACTACTGATTCACATTATAATAATTGTAACAATTGAATATGATAATTGGTATCACTGATTTAGATTATATGAATTTAATTACAATAATCGAATATAATAATTCAATTAGGCAAGGTGAATCTCACGGGTTCATACGGTTGCGAGGTGTCTTCGGAAGGACCGAGTTTCCTGACAATCTACGGCGAGGCGAACATGAGCGTGGCCATTCTTCCAAAGCAAAGGCCGACGATCCGCGGGCTCCGACCGTCTTATGAAGCGGGTCAGACTTTCCAAGCGGAATGTAACTCCGCGGCCAGCTACCCACCCGCCCAGCTCATCTTTATCCTCAACGGAAAAGAGGTAAGAGCGAATGGAAAGGAAAAATCACGGAAACGTACGGCTATTGGAGCCTGGAGAGACATTCCGTTGCCATCCGTAAACTTTACAATTCTGAATTGTACTCGCCCGTGGAAAAACGACTCGCCCGAGGCGAACTTACTTTTCCTGATCGCGATTCTTGTTCCCCCAGTGTTTTAAGCCTGATAGTCCAGTGCTTTTACGATAGATGATGATTCCTCAGCGTGTCGCAAATCAAATACAGTAGAGCCGTCGTTATGTCAACACCTATTATGTGAACATTCTATTATACGAGCCTCCAGTATGTTCAACACTTTCTACTTGGGAATTATTACATTAATAAAACACTACAAAATTTTAGAAATTTTGCGAGCCTNAGAATTGCAGAAATTGCAGTAAGAATTATAAAACACGTAGTCAATGCAGGCAGTTGCAAGTCACGTCCAATAAAAAAATACCGAAACTATGTATTAGAATATTAGAAATTATGCTTTAAAAATGGCTTATGACCGAGAAAACTTTTTCTAAAAGTTCATTGCTTCAAATATTGGACACAGCTTCTTTGTGGCAGAGATCTTACAGCTCGTACAACGTTAATAAGCTTTCGTACGTTCGTGAAAAAAATCGAATATTCCATTTAGATAAACATAATTGTCCCTCAAGTCTCATAAACGTCTCCACTTACAAAGAAATTATGCACATAAGCTGAACAAACTCTTTTCGAATCAGCAACTATAGCCAATGGCACATAAAGCGAATGACAACTTCCCCCGTTGGTTTCATTTCGAACACTAGGGAATGGGAATCGCAATCAAACTAAACGCATCCAACTTTTCGTCCGAACAAGCAACCGCAGCAAATCACGCGAGGCTTGTCGAAGATCTCGAGATGCTCGAGAACGTGGGAAACGCGGTGGGTTGCCCATTCTTCTTACGGACGCCACACCGCCGGGCCGGCTCGATTTAACGGTTCGGATCTCTTCGACGTAGTTATGAACGAGCGTCCGCGTCGTTTCTCGCGATTTAACACACTCCGCGATCAGTATAAACATTTATTATCTATAAAACCGCGGCGCGCGAGTCTGTGTGATCGCGGCGCGATACACGGACGTGAAATACGACACAGTTCGCCCTAATGTATCTCGCGCACGGGCATCCATGGAAAAAGGCGATCTCCACCCCCGTCCCCGTGAAGTTCACGCTAGTGCCTGATCTAGATGTTTGCTCTTTGCTTGATAAACGATCCGCTCAGACGATAAATGTTGGTTTACCTCTCTCGTGCGTTTTACGATATCGTTCCGTTATGTACATATTAGGTTGTTCGACGCGTGCTATTGTTCCTTCCTCGTACACCCCTACTGACACGTCTAACTTATCTCCCTTCCGTCCGAGGATTTATCAATTTGAGCGAGGAGAACTCTTACGCGAATCGTAACGTATAATAGAGAAGTCGTGCTGAACGGAAATATACAAAATTACTTTGACATATATTGTATTCAGAATTGTAAATGTCGGAGCAAATTGTGAAACAACGCGAACCAACGAGACTCGAGGTAAGATAAAAGGGAAGGATTGGAGCAGAAAATTGTAGAAATTAAGAAGGCGGCTCTGAATTGCAAATTCACCGCTGGCCGCGGATATAGAATCAGGGGAAACGCTTAAAAGGTGGTCGTTTAGCGCGTTTCTCGCGACCGTGCTCCGTTCTATTCAGAACCTTCAAAAACTTCTTCGAGGAAGGAACGAAAAGGTGGTATTAAAACCGCTGAGGACACTTTTAAAGTAACTTACACCACGCTCGACTCCTATTTTCATTTCGAAAATAACAGGAGGAGAAACTAAATTTAACTTGTCCGAGCCGGGGAACTTGGGCTAAATCCGGCTACGGTTTTAAGTGGAATTAATACAAATAAAAATGCCATTGAATTTCGCGATGTTGGCTTTATACTTAGTGATGGGATCTAAAATGATTCGAATCTATTAAGTGACGAAAAGTTCGTGTCATTTCGAATCTGATTTAAAGCTCAGGACTCTTGAAAGTTTTTTTTTAATTTCTTAGTTTATTTATCGTCATTATTGACAATTTGGTCATTACCAACACATGTATTCCATGCATTATCACATGCATTCATAATTTTGGTAATTGTAAAATTTTTATATATTTCTTCCTAATTTCGTAATTCTGATTTACTTCCAATCTCATTCGAAGAATTCTTAAAAGTCTCTATAAGTCTCGATCATCTTGAAGCTTTTGAATATCTTGAATATATCNTTATCATTATCAGTTTATTATTCAATTTTCATTCATAGAAACATAAAAATTGCTGTGTCTTTTCTTATGACTTATTAATTTGGAAAACAGGTCATTTTCACCCTTCCGGAATACGTCAATCGCCGATAGTTCTAGTGTTAAATCTACCTAATCAATAATATTTTATTATATGCTACTATCATTAAAACGTAACATATGGGAGTTTGTAACTTTACAAATATTAAAAAATAAGTCTGTATCACGTTCTCTTATCAACAGGTAAACAAAATGTTAACAAAGGAACTGCCAAGCGTGCCGTCCTCCGAAGACAGCATTCTGTCGTCGACGCGGCAAAGGCTGACACTGCGTCTGGAGAGGCACCATTTTCCCGGAGGTACCCTAACTCTGACCTGTCAGTCAATCCTACCAGGAATCGTGGGTGCGAAGCCACTCGAGAGAACAGAAACCGCGACCATGGCCGCAAGCAATCAACGATTGGCCCAAGAACCGCCTAGATCCAGCTCCTTCGTCAACTACCCACCCCCGATCTTGATCTACTGTCTATTAACGATCTTCGGATCGCTGAATCGCGGTAACTTAGCACCGTTGCATGTTTAATTGTCGATTCGTTCGGTAATCGTCACCGTATCTCGCTCGCTCATCTTTTCTTATCCGGGCTTCTCAGAACGACCGACTAAATTAAACTAAATTAAACGAAAACCACCGTTGCGTTTGGGACTCAACGATTCTCAACCGATCGAATTTCTCAATACCGCACTGCCAAATGTGAATTCCGTTGCTCGTACAGAGGGAGTTCTCGCGGGAAAAGTGTCGGCGTCGACGTCCTCCCGAGGAAATTTTTGCGAAAATTTTACGTACGTGTACTACCGTTAGTGTACCAAATACTTGTGAATAACAATTGCATCGACGGTCGCGTATAACGGCGACGAGACGAAGTTATAGCAATATACTTTAACGAGAAGCGAAGACGAGTCGTTCACGCGATATATGTACATAGTGTATGATTGTTGTACGAATTAGATTTACGACGACGATGTGTATTTAAAGTGGGAGGGAGTGGAGGATTTAAGGGTGTAACACGGTGAAAGTAAACGGAGAGGGAGAGATCAAGATCGCGACTCGGTGATCGTGTGCTCGATTGTTTTATGAACGCGTGATGTGAGCCGAGAGTGGAATACGATGGGATCGAAGGGCGAAGGGTGTAAATTTGAATCTGACAAGGGATAGGCTCTAGCGATTCATGTTTATCACCTTTCAAAGTATAATTGCACTGTTTTTCCCTTGGTCTCTCGGCTGATCCTTTTTGGTGACGTACAAGAATTTATATACATATAAATATAAATATATATATACATATATATATATACATATACATATATGTATACAGGATAAATTCGTCATATTTACGTTTTATTGTAATTTTACATGATCCATATCTGATCGTTACGACACATTTCAAGGAATAAAGACAAACGTCAGGCATAATTTGTTCTCTGTTATTTTTTCACCCTTCCCTATTTTACATTAAAACTAGAACTACCAGACCAGTCAGAATGACTAATTTTTATTAGAGAAATGCATGTGTGAAAAAAGACGATAGTTCTAATGTTAAATAAGTGATCCTAATTAAAGAATCTATGGAAGTTCAAGAATGAAACGTAAGTGATATCATTAAATAATTGAATTCGGCTATCGCCGTTCTATCTATTTCCTAATAAAGACAAACGCGAACTATAATTTGTTCTGTATTATTTTTATCCTACCCGACTTTACATTAAATAAAAAATTCCAGTTAAACAGTCCAGGGAAATTCGTGAATAAAACGTAAGTAATATCATTAAATTAAAATTATATTATTTCCTAGTTCAGCTACCTATCTAGGTTTCAATAAAGAAAAACGCCAGCTATAATTTGGTCTGTTATTTTTTTAGTACACTTCCTACCTTACTTTATATTAAATATAAGATTCCAATTATTCAATCGATGGAAATTCAAGAATAAAACGTGATTAAATAATACTACTATTTTATACTTGACTTATCGCCATAAATTTTCTATTTATTTCCTAATAAAGTCCGACGTGAAGCATAATTTGTTCTGTACCATCTTCCTACTCTACTTTACATTAAATAATAGAAATTATATGAACCGACTATTTTATACTTGATTTATTGTCATAAATTTTCTATCGAATTCCCAATACGACGAACGTCAGGCACTATTCTGAATTATCTTCCTTCTACTCCTATTTTACATTAAATAAGTTCCAATTAAACCATCCATGAAAATTCAAGAATAAAACGTAATGTCATTAAATAATAGAAATTACATGAACGTATTATTTCGTATTTTAGTAATCTCGATAAATTCCCCACCTACTTCCTTTTCGCCGTAACCGCAAGGGAGGGAGTCCTTATATAACATTAATCTACTCAGCATTTTACGTAACTGGTTAAATACACACGCTTCCAGTCGGAGTATAGCGTCGTTATCATCTTATAACGTGATTGCGAAAGCGTGAAATAGGGGCGCTTACCGAGATCCATAATCTTGTCGCAAACCGCAATCGCGAAGGTAGAAAGCACGACAGAGTAATAGAAATAAAGTATACATACAAGTTCTCGAAAATTCTCGTGCATTAGTCATATCAAAAAAGTCCTTAAAGAAATCATTTCACCTTCCAATTTTCTTAAACTCTTATGTCACATTAATGTCACCTCCATTTGCTCAAACACTATTTTCCTAACAGGTTTCTCCTTTTCTCTCCATTCCCTCCTAATCCACTCTTAAAATATTTAACCGCACTAAATTCCCTTCGACTGCCACCGTCCATCTTCATTTCCGTTACTCCGATCGAAGGTGATTCACGCAGAGATCTTTGGGATCGTGGAAGGGATGGAGAATCAGGACGGGTCGCCCGAGATAAAAGCGATTAGAGATGGCAAAAGGAAGAACGGTTTAGCGGCCGGTAAACAGTTGGAACGGGGAATCTAAATCCAGACAGAAGGATTTCCGGTAAGCGCCTATCCCACCGCCCGGGTATTAAAGCCAGTCCTGACCGGATCCGCGTTCGACTTCGAGACCTATCGGCAAGGACCCGCTCTCTCCTCGATTCGATTTCCAGATTAATTAAGGATCGCTGCGCTGCCCTCAAAGGACGCCCTCGAGATCCTTTCGAACAGGCCACCGCCGACGCGTCAAGAGGAAAGGCGTAACAAGACGCTCGATTCGAGCCCATTTCACGAGACGCCGAGCCAGATAATGACATTTTTCGCGGAGACACGAGAAATAATCCTCGCGATACAAATTCGCCATTTCGGCGATTCCTGAACTACATCGATCAAAGCAGTCCGAATCGTCACCGTGATGACCGTTTCGGGTACAAGTAAATACGATTCCGGTTAATCGATCCATTTGACGGTTTACAATGTGCTCAAGCACAGTTACGAGGGTTACGTGTGTTTCCGATTGTTTGAGTATAATAGGCTAGGGGTATAGGCTTTTCCTTGAAGCGCTGTTAATGGAGATTAGGACCAAGGCGAAGGACTCTGACAGAGTTGACTACAGCCAGCTGTACACTGCGCTGTACATTTATTTACGGAGGACTCGAAATAGTATTTGAATTGTATGAATCTAAGAACGTCGGCGATGTTATAAATTAAATATAATTCGTGCTTCAGATATTAAAGAAAATATACACTGATCTCCGGTGTAAATCTAGAATCACCAATCGCCGTATAGGACTTTTTAAATAGGGTACCAGTTCACTCTTAATCATTAATTTTAGTGAAATAGTTTTTAAACAAAAGTTGTAGATATTGTCAGCTAAAAATAAGGTCCTATAAAATTCTCTTGTAACTCCGAAATTTCTGAGTAATCATAACGAGATTTGAAACTGAATTCTCAGTACAGAGAGAAGAAGAATAAACATAGGGAAGACTCGAATGTTGCATCGAGCGGGCATTTATAAAAATCAATGGGAACGATCGGCAGTCGTATATCCGGAGAGAAATGTAGCCATGTATGCAGAGATCGCTGTACTTTACGCTTGAAAAATCATCGAGCCAATTTCAATAGTTTTGCTGGTGCTCATTAATAATTCCACTTGCTTGTATTTACTCGAGTTCCACAAAACGCTCGTTAGTTCATAGGCCGACAAAACCACTCATTATGCCCGACATTTGGATGTGAATTCCTGAACTGTTGCAAACGCCGCTCATGCCGGATGAAACTAGTTATATTTAACCGGCAGATATACAAAGTTGAAAAAAAAGGCATTTCTCGAAACGAGGAAATGTAACAGAGTGAAAGCGAGCGTAGCATTTGAAACGGCACTCGAACGATCAGAACGTCGACGAGTTCAATGAGTTCTCTCGTTTCAGCTGGAATTATAATAGAACATCCTCGAGCTCCGAACGAGGACGGGGTTTGTAACACGGGCGAGAGTGGCGGTTGGCTATGGAAAAACGAGATCAACGCGGATTCAGGAATGGCACGGCTTCAAGACGCTCGGAGGCACGCGGGTAAACCCCGGCTATTATCTTGGCATTGTTTTATCGGCGTGACGCGCGTGCAAAAGCTGGAACCGCATTGCTATCGCAGTCCTCCCTCCAGTACCGGTGGAAAATGGCTAAGAGTATGTTCGTGCTTGTTTGCAGACGTTCCTCTGCCGATTTTCCACGCGCCGCTGTGTTTGTCTTTCGCGTGCAAGAGTACAATAGCGTTTGCGCCCGTTCTCGGGCTGCGAGGCTTCATTTCAATCTCGCTTGTTGAAACAGTTACCACCCATACGATTCTCGAATTGGTTCAACGCTGTTCCAATTAAAAAATAGATTTAATTCCAATTATAACGCGGGGAATAAAGTACTCTAACAGTTGTAAGTAGACCGCGGATTTCATGCATTTATAGATAAATTATATGTGTAGAAAGTGTAAGAATTGAGAATGAGTAGAATTTCAAATTAATATTTTTAATAATAAAATAAATTTTAACCGATGACTCATTTCTTAAATTAATATCGCTAATGCCTTATTCTCGATAAAAAAGAACCGCAGTCTAATTATGATTAAGAAAGTTGACAGTAGTGAATGGTAACCACTATCTCTCCGGAATGTGGAGGGAATTTCTCGAGATTCGGAATCAACCGCAGACTAAGGTGATAAAGAGGCTAGGCGAGGCATACGTGACCTGTCGCCGATAAATTTCACAAAAAAATAGGCGGGGAGGGACGTAGACGAATCGTAGGAACCGAATCAAGGGTAATATTTGAAATGCAAATGAGTTTACTTAGTCGAACATGGATAAATCCTCGGAAAATAAATTTCAGGCCAGGGAAGATTAGAAACGGGACGGGAAGTAAAAACATATATAAACGCCGCGGCAGAAATTCAAAGGATTACTTGTTTGAACAAGAGGGGAAACCAGAAATCCAGTCGCACGGAAAATTCAACACGACCGTCCGTCCCCCTAACAATTTCTCACTGAATCTGTCAATTTTAAATTACGCTCCGCTTTGCACTGATTCACCTTTTATTTCGTAATATACGAATTTTCCAACTCCAAGGCTGTTCGAGAAGTATACAATCCAGTCCCTTTGAACATGATCAAATATACATATACATACTTGTATATATAACGATTTATCATTAGATTTCGGAGTTTTATGCGAAATATAACTCGTAATAAAATTTAAGAAATTATATTTAGGATACTCTATGAACTATTCACGGTAAACTTCAGTACACAGATTACAGAGTTTTAGTTCGAGTAGCAGAAAGTTTATTATTCGATTTTTCAAAGATTTATTATTTCATTATTGCATTAAGCTGACCAGATTAGTTTATTTTGTATTTATTTGCAAGACAAGAATGGTTTAGTTTAAGTTGAGTTTGTACATGGAGTTATGTAATAATTAAGTTTCTGTAGTAAGTAAGGTTAATTAAGTAGAGGAAGGTAATTTAAGATACAAAACAATATAATCGGAATTCTTTCCACATCGAAAGATACGAGAATAAAAAAACAATAATAGTAAGAATCTCCATCAATTCTTTTTTAGCTGCTGATGTTTTATACACTTTTCTCACTGTATATATTATATTTTTTACATACTTAATTTTGCTATAAATTTATAAAATCCGCGGTCTATTTATCATAATGATTCTAAGATCGGACATACATCTCAAAATCATTATGAAAAAAGAGCAATGCTAATAGAAATAGTAGTTGACAAGCAGTTCGTGAATATAATGAGTATATAAAGAGTGGCAGACAATTTCCTAGGTAATTAGTATGTGCGCATCGATTCAAGTTGAGCGTGATTTTCCGCGCTTTCCCGGGCAGAATAGAGACGCGGCGATTGTTCTTTTGTGGCGCGACAGAAAAGAAAGAAGACTTGACGCAGGGTCGAGCGAGCGACGCGCTCGTGCATGATGCACACATAATACGCACTTACTTGGAAATCGAGCGAGACAAGATTTCCATTGGT